TTCAGCATCTTAGCTGTGGAGGGCAGTGTCACTGGCCCTCATATGTGGGATCCGAACAGGGGCCCTCTGGCGTCCCAAGCCAGTTCTTAACCATCGCGCCTCTCGGCCGGCCCTAATCCATTCTTTTTAATTGATAATAATACAGAGTACAAATGTCATATTATCCATCTAACCATTCTCTTATTTATGGACATTCAAGTTATTTCCAGCTGTTGGCCACTCTAAGGCTGGAACAGCGTCCTCAAACGTGTGTGTTTTTATTTCTACAGGACAGACTCCCAGAAACAGAGCCTACATATGTAGATATTTCAGATTATTTTGTGGAAAGACTGTAGCAACTCATACTTAGCAATTTGTGTGTAGTTTACATTTTAATTTTTGCTGATCTGAATGGGTTAAAAAAAAATTGGTTAACTTACTGTTGCTTTAATTTACATTTCCCTAGTAGCCCTGTTGGTCATCTTGTAGTATTGGCTATTTGAATTTCCTCTTCTATAATGAATTCCCTATTCCTAACCTTTGCTCTTTTTTCTATACAGTTATCCTTTTGTTATCAATTTACAAGGGCTCTTTCAATATCAACAGTTTTAACCATTTAATTGCCATATATAATGTAAATTGTTACCCTCAGTCTATCACTTGCCTTTTGCTTGTTTAGGGGGGCTACGTTCTTCTGCAAGTTCAAAGAACATCCTTTTGGATCTGTTTCATGCTTTATCTCACTTGAGATAAAAAGAGGACACTAAAGTGATGACAAAGAATGAAGCACACAGGTCTGGCTGCTGTCTTTGGGGGGGGGGAAATGATTCTTCTTTGGTCGCCTCGTTGAACAACTCCACTCATGACCTACCTGCATTGCTGAAGTGTCTCTTGTTGGGGTGACTGTAGTTATCTCGTGGGTGTCCATGCATCTGTGGGCCATGGGAGGCAGGCAGATGAGACTTCTGAGGGTGGAGGCTGTGTGGGGTATGGGACTGAGACATCAGGGAGTCCCGGCTCGAGCCTGAGGCCTCCGGGCGGAATGGCTTCTTACCACCAATCACGTCATCCTTCTTCTTTTGCTCCTGTAGCGGAAGAAACCGGAGACTCTGAAGATCACAGGCCCAATTCCCAAAACCAGTAGAAGGATCATCACCTCCTAACAGTTCCCCTCTGACTACTGTTGACGAGCTTCTTACCAAAAAAAAGCTCACCGATACCTCTGAGCACCTTCAGCACCAGCAGCCTCACAGAGCTCCATCTGCCACTCTGACCTACCAGGCCAGACCCCACTGACAAGAACCTGTAAGAGCACATGCCCAGACTGCTAGAGATGTCACCGCCCGGGGTTCCTCTTGGGCCACGTAAAACCAGGGCCACCGTCTTTCTGAAGCTAACTAGCACAAACAGCCCCCAACTGGTCCATGGGGAACTAGTTCCTATGTCAAAGTCACCAAGCTAATCATCTAAATGGCCGAGTAACACCACTTCTTTACCACGCAAGCAAAATATTCAATATAAGAACATCAGAAAATAGAGTAAGAAAAAATTAGAAATGTAAAGTGACCTAAAAATCTCATCCAATAAGGGGATTACTGTTCGTCATTTGGCCCATGTCTTTCTAAGCCTTTACATATATATTTTTTTAAACAAAAATATTATTTGGTATTCTTTTTTCACTTAACATATTGCGAAAATTTCATGTAAATACTTATTTCCACAATCTTATATTTATGGTTGAATACTTCTCCCGATATACAGATATTGTGATTTATTTAATCAATTTCTTAGTGCTGGACATTCAAGTTATTTCCACTACTAAACATATTCAAATCCTTAATTATCTCCTTAAACTCTCAGAAGGACAATGTTGTTTTACTCTTTGATGAAACTTACTGAACTGTTCTCTGGAAAGGTTGTGACAACGTACGCCCCCACTAGTGGGGTCATTGCATTTCTTACTCCACTTACACTAACTTCTGACACCTAGGCTAACGAAGTCCTTTACATCATGCGTTCAGCTTCAAACGCTCATCCTACCTTTCACTCTTTCCCAACTACTCCATCTTCTCCTGGGTCCTCTCCAGACTCTTACTTTCAATGATTTCTTAGAATGCTTAAAATTACACTAACATTCAGCAACCATGGTGTATTATTCCTGTATATCATGGCTATCTCATACATCACATTCTTCCATGTAAATTAAATCACAAGCTACTGGAGGGCACAGCTCCACAGGTCAACGCAGTGCTGGGCATAGCATATGTCATGCATGAAATACCTGTGAGCACCTGCCCTGGGGGTTGAGAAGAAAGCAGAGGCTGAGACATAAAACCTCTGCCTCCAAGGAGCTGACAATGTTAGCGGAGGAGGTATCCAATGCTACCAGACAGGCCCTAAGTGGCTACTTTGGGTAGGAACCATGGGGCAAATCAGCAGATCTGCAAATGGACAGGCCTGCACAAGGACCACGGCCCCTGTGGCATGAGCCAGTTCCCTGCTGCACCCACCTCCGACACCACAGAAGTGGAGGCCATGTCCAGGCACCTTCTCAAGCATGCTCCTTTCGTGAGCAGTTAGGACCTTAACGTACAAAAGCTGGAAGGAGACCAAGTTCACATGGCCCAGAAAACAGTATTTTCTGTCCACAACCCTGTTATCTATCAGGAGCCATATTTATATGCTATAACGAGATGCATTTCTATGGAAGAGGAGGAGGCCTGGTGAATAAATGATTCTAGGACATAAGAACATAGGCTAACAGCCCCTTGTCAGAATTTCTACACTGTTTGCTTCCGATGCATTGGCTGTTTAACCCATCGGGTCTTACTCTTGGGCTCATTGATGCAGCATGCTGAGAAACTGCCCAGCTAACACACAGAAGGAACACACTGGACAGAACAGGATGGGCGGGGTGGGCCTCTGCACCCCCTGTGGACCCGAACCTCCATTTGCAAAGTAAGAGACCCAGGGACCCTTCGAATACCAACAACCTATGAGTCTATGATCATCTCCCCGGGTGGGGGGAACAACATTAGTAAGGAATTTTCCTATGGAACTGTTTTTTTTTAATTGTTTGTATGAATGAGGATTAAATTCTTATTTTTACCTCCTCTTCTTGAGATCTTTTCTTATGAGCCATCTTGTATAACTTATGCAATTTTCGAGCATCAAATTCTGTAAACTTGGAAACAAAAATCCATAGGTTCCTAAAAAAAGGAAAAAAAAAACAGTTCTGGTAAATAACAGGATTTTAAAAATAATTTTTATTCTCTCTTGGTTGGTGGCAAGCTATTGAGTTTGGCTATGGAAAGAAAACTCTCCAGGTGTAGAAATTAAGTCACAGAAATGTCCTTTCAGGCCTTTGCATCAATAATACATCTTTAGATGCTACGATCAATACAGTGTGACGGAGAGGTCCAGAGCCCAGGGTTCCGTCTCACAACTAACACCCCTCTAATCTCACTGGCACCCAGGATTCCAGTCCTAAAGTCTTTCTCCACTTTCCGCACTTCCTGGACTCTGCCGTGCAGTGAATCGCTGCCATCTCCTAGGCGGGGACCCACATACAGTCGGGAACCTCTGTGTTGCTGCCTCTTCTTTCCTCCCCGTCGTCACCACCAACGCCTGTCGTTTCTTCCTTAAAGCTGGGAGGTACTCCTCCCCCGCGGTTCCACTGCGCTCCCCTAGCACAGCATTACTGTCAACAGGGGAGGGACTGATGAAATGGGCATCACTCTCAGTGAGCTGGAAAAGGCGTCTCGCGTCCAAGCACGCTTTCTAAAGAGCAGTGTCACTGTGCCGTGTCACTCACAGACACGGCCCGGCCCCCCCCAACTCAGTGTGTGGAAAGCCACTAACCTGCCTCCTCAGGCCTTCTGTAAGGGGGCTTCAGTCATCTTAACAAACTGTCTTTAAACCTGAAAAACCTCCCAGTCCCACCTTCTGAGCCTTTGCTGACGCCTGGGAACAGTCTCCATGTACGTCCATGCCGTTCTTGTACGCCCAGCTCAAGTGCACCTGCCCGCCTCTCAGAAGACCCTCCAGACTGCTCTTCCACACACGCCTAATCCTTCTAGAAACTCCTACTGTACTTGGTCTTGCACTTGCCACTTTAGGATGAACGGCTTCTCTGAAGTGGGCAAGGACCTTCCTGCGAACCACCATCAGCCGATGGGCCATGGCACCCAGTGGATTTAAACACACGCCTGCCCCAGTGCACAGCAGGAAGCCAGCTGGAGACCAATGTATGAGGGTGACCTTTGTCATCTTCCAACAGGGAGTCAGCCCAGTAAAAAGAAAGCCAGATGGCTGGGGACAGGAAGGAGTTGGTAACAGTACAAAGGGGAACAGTGACATTTTAAAACGTTAAGTTTTTTATTGTTGTTTTATGGGTGTGAAGCGTGCTATGGATAGCATCATGACAGAAAGTTTTCTTAAACCCATTTTTCACTCTAAAACCAATCCACTGATCTTGGGCATATTCCACAAAGATAATTTACATTAACCATGGAGTACATGTGGTTAAAGTAACTGGGGATCATGGAAAGAGATTAATGCTACAATTGTCTTAGAAAAATTCATGTTTTCTTAAGATATCAAAAGTGACTATAACTGAATAGATAAGTCACGACAGCTGACAAACTGAAGCTTTGGATTATCTGCATTCATCCAAATACTGCTATTTACTCAATTATCAAAAGGAACGGAGAACTCATAGTTCGGATGGCTTTAACTTGTTTCCCCTTCTGTGTTAGTAGAGCGCTAACCAGATAGGGTGAAACTAGATGACTTCTAGCTCCTCTAGGTGTAAGGACTGGCTCTTTTTTCTAAGAACAGGCCAGCGAATCCAGAATCACTGTCCTTCTCTTATTAAACAATGACATCATCCAACATACTCCAAAGACTGGTGTTGGTGGAATGGCCTATTTCAGACAAGTAAAATGGTGCCCAAAGATAGCTTTTGTGGGGAAAACAAATTTTTTTGGATGGCTGTGTCACCTTTTATACAACAAACACAGAACCACCCCACCCCACACTCCATATGCGCACACACACTCTGCCAATCAAGCCGGGCAACTGGACGCTAAAGAGGTTACCTCCTCCACAGTTTGATGTGCTCCTGGTCTGAGTAAGCTTTAAGGCACTCGGCTATTCGGTCTCCGATTTTCAGCAGGCAGTTCCGGGTGTGCTCCAGCTGTTCTTGCACATTGAGCCCCTTGTCGGGTTTGTCCAGCTGTTTCAGTGCCTTTTTCACGGGCCTCATCCTCTCCTTACACTGCAACAGGCCAAGACAGAAGTGATATTACGCATCCGCAGGAAAGATGTCTCCTCCTTAGCTGACTGTGCCCTAAACCCCCAGGGAACACACAGCCCACCCTCATGCCATGCAATCGCCAGGGGAGCCATGGGTAAAGCCAGTGGGACAAGCATCGATGCCAAGTCAGAAAAGCCCGAAATGCAAGTCCCAGCATCCAGCAGTGCTCAAGAGCAATGGCCTTGCACAGCTTACTCGGAAATGCTGCTGTGTTTTCTCATCTGCAAGAGGGGCCTGACAATCTCACAAGGCCATTACAAAGATCAAATGAGAAGCAACATTACGCATCTAGCCTGAAAAACCTCCCATCTCAAATTAGCTAAAATCTCAGGATCCAATATTTACAAATCCTTTAGGCTTGTAAGAAACTAAGGGAGGGGCTTCCAAGTAAAGACTGGGAACTAAATACAAGAATCTTTTTCTCCCAAAAGACAGTAAAGGGATTGCCTTAAAAAGAGATAAGCCCACAAACACAGAAAAAGTGAGAGAGAAAACAGCAACAGAATATTGGCAGCAAGGGAAATAATTAACTTATCAGACCTGAGAACACCAAAGCTAGCAGGGGGTAACGCTGAGAACCACCTGATTTATATTGTAAACTTTCCCCAAAGCCTAGCTAAGTGCCTCTGGACATACGGGTGAGGGCTAAAAATAAAACTGGTTTTGTAAAGACTGCTTAAGAGTAACAGATACTCGGATTCACAGTTGACACCCAAATCTCAAACATGGCCCAGCAAGAGATAGGGAAGTTTACTCTCAGGAGACGATAAAAGAAAGGTCTCTGAACCGGGCTACACAAGCACAGCTGAAGAACAAGGTCACTGCCCCCTGAAAACAGGACGACGGGATCATATGCATATTAGATGAGCTGCCACTGCCCATTCTGCCTCTCAGAATCCAGAATGAAGAAAGCAAGGCCTTCACCCTCGTCAGGAGATTTTCTCCAAAAATTCTGACCACCCAAGAGGAAGAACCAAAAAGATGCTGACAATCCCCTGGAAGTTTCCCAAGGAAGCAGCCCAGCCAGATCACCCAGTGAGCACTCGCAGCATCGATGAAGCCCCGCCCACATGCACAGAGCTTCCAATCAGAGGCTCAGCAGTCCCCCCCACTCTTAAATATGACAGACAACCTAGGACTATCAAGCCATTTAAGGAAGTGTCTGGCATAAACAACAGAAAATAAACGAAAAAGAAGAGGCAACTGAGGATTACTAAGCCATCTGTTAATATCTAACATGAATGACGAAAAACAAAGAGAAATATGTAAACATTCAGAGAACCATGGGGGGGGGGCGGGTAAAAGATCATGGAAATAAAACATGACAAGAGAAATGAAAGCCTCAAAAGAAATAATGGGAGATAAAGTTGAGGGGGTCCCCTAGAAAGAAGTCTAAAAAGCAGAAATGGAAAACGAACAAAAAAAGGTAACATGAGAGACCTCTCCCAGTCTAATATCTAAAAACAAGGAGTTCCATAAAGATAAAACTAACAACTTAAGAGGAAATGATCACAAAATGATTTGAGAAAACTTCTCAGGCCTGAAGGACGTATAGGTTGTCAGCCACTGAGTACCTGGTGCAAGAAGTAATAAGATGCATGATCATGAAACTTCAAACAATGAAAATCCTATACATTTGCATCACTTTGTGGTAATTCCCATAGCTATATGCTTAAAATCTGTTTATTTTTCAGTGTTGTATTTCAATCTAAAAAAAGGACACAAAATACAAAAGATGTAGCACAAACTGGAAGAGGCTTGTTATGACTAACAGATGAAACATTTGTATCATGAATGTAAGAATTCCTTTAGAAAAGGTAAGATAACACAAATGACCCCAAAGAGGCAAAAGATAGGAACAGGCAATTCACTAAAGACACGAGTGCCCGATAAATTGACTGCAGGAATACTTTAAGGTTTGGGAGAAGATCGCTTTCTCTGAGAATGAATTAACTGATCAAGTAAACTGTGATTTATGGAAATCTGGGGAGAGGAAGAGACCACAAGAGAGGTGGGGAAGGGAATTGTTGGTGCGACAGGTGAAATATACACCTGCAGCTCCAGGAAAGAAACAAGGGCCCCGAGGGTACCCTGGCCCATTTCCAAGGCCTGGTCCTTGCACCCCCACCCCTCCACCACCTTTCCTGTCTCACAGACCATATCAGAGGCCATGTTTTAGTTTCAGCCACCACCACAAGGGAGCACATAGGATTTGTCACGCTCACCACTGCTCTGGTGCTCTGGCTCATTAAGCCAAGACCTCGGCCTCGTCCCAGGTCATACTGTCCCCTTGCTCTCCCGACTCCAGCCACAGTGGCCTCTGCAACCGTCTCAATGCACCATACTCGGTCTCGCTACACCACCTTCCTGTGAGTTGCTGCTCCCTGCCCCGGCGTGTTCTTCCCGCCCCTTTTCCTGTCACTTCTGCCTCCTCCTTCAGAACCCAGTTCAAACATCACTTCCTTAAACACACCTTGAAATCCCAATGGGGTCACATCCAATGGGGTCACATCCCTCTCCTCACAGGATCTCTGTGGTATCTGGCCTTTCTCCTCCATTGCACTGTTATAGCAGCACAAACGTGATTCGTGCAGTTACCTGCCTATCTCCCCTACTCAGGC